CGTTTTGGAGACTTGGTCGGAGGTCATTTTGCGCTCTTGAATGGGTCTTGCGCTTTTGATTAGGGCAACTGCCAAATTTGGAGGATTGCAATACGGTCTCATAAATAAAACCATCGTACAGACTGTTTTTGGCAGTTGTTTCCCCCTCGATGAACGAATATTGCAAGGACCACTAACAAGTTTCACACAGATTTAACAGTCTGTTACTCGTTACTCTCCGAATGCCGCTACATGAGGAATCTTCATCATTCCAAAAGCAAAAACTGAGCTGTACAGAAAATGAATGGTACTACACTTAACTTATACCCTCATGAATCCTCCTGCCTTAGTGTCGTCTCTCGTCTCTTGTTTTCTTTCTAAAGGTATTATGTACAACCAACAAACTGTTTTGCTACCATATGTTGTGTATATTCTGAAGCTGAAAGAAAATGTCTTTCTGCAAAAAACTATTAATAAAATACAGAAACACTGGTACGCACCTTAGGTGAACCCGACGAAACGTCGTGTGAAACAAACTCGTCCTCAAGTCGAATAAACGAAACGTAACCATTGAAACATTTCACAAAATCTGTAAGGAACCTCACTCAAAATGACTACAGAAAATTCTGCCGATCAGTCAAACAATCTTACCACAAAATCAAGGTGGAAAAATTACGGTGGAAGCAGATTATTCGAGTAGTTATTATACACTTCATTCTATTATTCGTGACCAGATCTGCTTCGCTTCTTCGCTGGAAAGCAAATACTTAAGACCTACCATATTAACGAGTCTCCTTGTCGATTCAAACATTGCAGAGGAGGCTTGGCTTGTCGATTTCAACGAAAAGTTAAAACACGCCACCTTAATACGCAGAAGGGACACACTAAACAGGGGTGTTAAGTCCTAAACCAGCCTTCACTCGACCTTTCTTTAAAAAGAGACAAATAAAACTTTGTGAGCACGTACAACAGGTCACCGAAACGATTGGGCAAAGGATTCAGCGTTGCGTCGGCCAGATCTTAACGGGATAGCGTTTTAAAATTAAACCCCAGCAGTCAATGCACAAAGTTCTAAAACAGGCATCCTCCAGCAGCAAGCAATGATGTTTGGAACTGCGGGGTAGCGAACATCAAAATTCAACTATATCATGGTCTTTCTCGGTGAAATGTGCGCAAGTTAGCATGCAAGACATGCAAGCACATCCTTAAGTTAAACCAATAGGAGGAACGTACGATCTTGCAACTTTTTACACTTAAAGACAGATACAACTCACGCAGTTGAAGAGCACAAAGCGAAAGAATGACCCTCCGAACACGTAAATGACAGTATTTAGCCCAAGAACTGGGTAGATTATTGTCATGATCTAATACCGGCAGATTCTCATGATGATACGTCAGTAAACAACTAAAAACTTACAGCAGTGAGTGACAGCAACATATGGCCACGCATCTCCTCAATTTCAGGGAGCTGAATTTGTGCAATGAGCACTACCGACAACCACTGGAGGAGTAAATGTGACATTTCAACGTCGACTTCACTCACTGCGAATTACTGCATTATCGTTTTGGGAATGCTTTCCTGCGCCAAAGACAGGGAAGGAAAATAGACCAGCTCAGCCGCACCGCAAAAAAACTTTAACAGAGGAAAACATTTTCTTTGAAGTTACCATGCTGATGCCCCTACTGCCAATTAGCTCTAAGAGCTAATTGTGATGAATCAACAAGCTACTACCGCACTACGGCCATAGTTAACCCCAACAGAGCGCAGAGAAACCAGCGTAATCCACATATTTTAGTACTGGAAACAATTTACATATTGCTCTGAATTTCTGCATGAATTTACCTTAGAAAGTGAACACTAAATATGGCCAGTATACTTCTTCCTCTTCTGACACCAACTGGCAACAGACAATCACGTATGATTTTTTTATATTTTAAACAAGACATGCAATCAAACTGAAATTTAGAACTTTGAGGCATCAACCTCCTGAATGTGCTAAGACCTTTAACATAAATCTCGCTTAACCCTAATGAAAAACACACAACAAAGGGGCAGGAACGGATTGCCATGCCACTGTCACAGACAAAATGGCAGCTCGTAAATCGCCGCCAAAGCCGGCAGGTCATTACAAAATAATTTCTGTCTAACAACACAATCTATTTCAAGTTTCAATGCAGTATATAATTTATAAAAAGTGATTCCTTGACATTTATCACAATTCCAGTCTAAAACAATTTAGCTAACCTCCGCGAACATCCTTTGTTTCAAACCTGCTTCGGTGTTCATTTGGTGTTAAATTACTGTAATTGCTCCAATTTTTATTCTTCCTGCAAATCATTATATAATGCTATGATTCTACTACTTTTGCTTTAGCAATTTACGCCCTGTGCCGATTTTCAATCAATTATTAGGTGAATTACGACAAATTTTAGCTTGAAGTCCGCGAGAAGAATAAAAATTATTGATTCTCTATGGCTTCACACATTAAAACTGACGTTGTAAACTCTTTCATTATATTTGTAGATGTTACTCACATTTGTGAATTCCTTGAAAAAATTTTAACTCATTGAGAAAAGAACAGTTCTTTTCGACTGCAGGTAACACAATTACATTAGTTCGTCTACTTATTTTCAAGAGTATCTAAATTCGCTCCCTCTGGTGAAACTAAGAGTGCCAACAATTATGGATAAAATTACTATAAATCTCCTCACGTTTTCTCGGTGTAAATGCATCTGGACGTGATGCATGCCATGCATGCATATATCACACCCAAAACCATTTTCCACTGAAAAAACTGAGAAGATTTATAAACTTAAAATGTATTAAAAATGACCGAAAAATACTGCATAAATAATAATTAGATTTCTTTTATTTATGGTTAAAGGCAAGAGGTTAAATGTAAAATTCTTTATTTTTAGGTGTGTTTCAATAGCGTACACGAATATTGACATATCTCGATTAAAAAATAATCCATCAACCGTGTGGCTTGTCTTTTCAACTGTGAATGAATCAAACGAAGAATGGGAGTATAATTTTTATTTGAACAGACAAGGAACCAGTACTTCGCTTAGTATTAATCTGAATTTGAATAGCGTGAGTTAACTTCTCTCTGTGGCTCGAATAACATCAGGGTGGATTTAATGTCATTCGAAACGACCAAAGTTGTTTATTTAGCTTATTCTCCAACAAATGATTTTAGTAACCTTTTAAAATTCTGCACAAACGTTTTTGGTCTGTAATCAAAAATATATGAAAATATAAACCAAAATATGAAAACACATGTATAAAATATTTACCGTTCCTTGTGAATTTGTAATAGATATTGCTTTGTTTTCTCTACTTGCT